ATATATATATATATATATATATATATATATATATATATATATATATATATATATAATTCAAGGTTGTATTTTTGTGGCATGCTGTATGTGTGATTCAACCCTGGTGCCTGGCTGCCAATGTTTTGGCAGTTCCTGAAAAAAAAAAAAAAAAAAAAAACAGATTAATGCTGTTTCTTTCTGGCTGATAGGTTTGGTGTGGCCAAAATTGTTCAAGTGTAGTTTAAAATTGTTCTATACTGTTCTGTTCTGTAATTGGTTCTAAAACTTATTTGTTTACAATGTCAGAACTTGATTACAGGAAACTGTAAATGCTCCACAGTGCCACACCGTGGGAGGGGGCGACACCTGATGGCAATGTTTTAAATTGCCGGCCACAGCCTGTAACAACACATGGCCAGACACCATGTTGGTTCAGGGATAAAGAGGGTGGAACATGGTTTTACCGCCATCTTTGTTGAGGTCTGCCAGCTGTGTTCAGTTCCCTGTTTGGTGCTAAGTGAAACTTTTGTCCTTTAAGCTTTTTGATGTTCAGTCTTTATGCAATGTGGTAGAACCAGCAAGATTTGCCAGCCCCTCTATGAACTGAGTTTGATTGAAAGTTTTGCTTTTAGTTCAGAAATATATTTAAAGTCATGCTAATGACTGCAGTTGATTACAAGATTGAGCTTTACCTAGTCTCTTGTCTATGTTTTCAAGGTCAAGCCTAGGATGGATAGCTACAAAGTTTGCCTATGTAGACCTACTTGAAATAGATGGTCCTAACACTCATCTAAGGAATATGCCAGAATTAGAGATTATAACATTCTGTTTTACAGGATGCAGTTCAGAGCAGATAACTAAAGATAGACAGAGTAACTCATATGCTGGCCCTCAAGCTTGTCAGAGATCTGTGGAATATGTCATTTTACCATGTGTAGACTTATTATGACAGAGTCCCCAAATCCTGGCATTAGCTCCCCAAGGTCTCTGAGGAGATCTGGGCACAAAGTCAGGATTTGCCACCCACCGACACAATCTGAGGCTATCCCATTCTCTCCTACAAAGCCTGTAACATTTGCGCATATAACCCAATAACCCTCCCATACACCCCAAAATCTTCAAATCCCTAGAGCATTTCTGCCACATGAAACATGAAGACTGTAATAACGACTCGCTGTGTTAAGGGGATAGTGACACAGAAAGGAGGCCTGCAGTGTTCAGTACATTGTATGTTTAACTTGAGTGAATGTTTGCCTGTGTGCATACCTGTGCACCACACATGTGCGATGCCCACAGAGATCAGATAAGGGCATCAGATCTCCTAGAGTTACAGACAGCTGTGAGCCTCCATGTGGGTGCTGGTATCAAACCTGGGTCCTCTGGAAGAACGGTAAGTGCTCTCAACCACTGAGCTGTCTCTCCAGGCCCTAGATGCAATTTTAAAAGAGATGTATTTATTATTTACTTATGTGTATGAGTGTTTGCCTGCAGGTATGTATATGAACCATGTGTGTGCAGTGCCAGAGGATGCCAGAAGAGGGCAGCCGTCTTGGAGCTGGAGTCACACAGATGGCTGTGAACTGCTTGTGGACAATAGTGATTGAACCCCAGCCCTCTGAAGAGCAGCCAGTGCTCTTAGCCGCTGAGCCATCTCTCTAGTGCCACAAACATCTCTCTCTCTCTCTCTCTCTCTCTCTCTCTCTCTGTGTGTGTCTCACATAGAACTCACAGGGTCCGAGTCTGCCTGTGGACACAGAGATAACAATAAAGGAAACATGCCAAAATGTTCTCAAAAAGAGAATGGCGTGATGCTCTTGGTTAGTGGTCTTGCAAGGCTTTTAAGTAGGAAATGATAGAAATGCCAATCTCCTCATAATCCAAAGGAGGGTGGTGGGAGCCTGGGAGGGACAGAGGTGGAGAAGCCAGAGGGAAAAGTGCTTGAGCTGGAATCCCAGCATTTACAAGAATGCTTCCTCCTCTCCTCCTCACTCCCTCAGGTTTCAGGAGATCAGAGGCTCCTTGCCAAAGCATTCTAAATAGTAAAAAGCTTGTGAGAGCAGAAGGAATAACCACTGTGTGTAACTGTATGGCCCTGGTCACCTAAGCCGGCTCAGCCCACCATCCAGGACAAGCTCATTAACAAGGTGAAGGGATGGCTAGTAAAAAGCATAGCAAGGAGATCCAGTCAAGATGGCCACCCCAGGAGGAGGAGCAAAGAGATCCAGTGACCTGCCCGGTCCGCCGCTGTCTTCTGTGTCAGTCTGCCCTGCAAGGTGGTTGGTCTGCCAGCTTCCTCCTCGGCTGGTACTGGGAGGCAGCCTTTCCCTTCTTCCAGCATGGGAGCCTTGAGGAGTCTTGGGGACCACTATCTCAACAGTCTCCTAGGCCAAGGGGGGAACCTGAGTGTCTGTCTTCAGAGTACCTTCCTTCCTACATGGAGGGTTACACGTGTGTGTGTGTGTGTGTGTGTGTGTGTGTGTGTGTGTGCGTGCGTGCAAGCTTCCTTGGCACATCTGCCGGTGATGTAGGTGACTGAGTTCTCTACTACGGGTTTATATACAGTTTTGACGACAATGCAGCAAAATTCGGTTTAAAATATTGATGGGAAGCAGAGTGAGCCCCTAAAATATGCCACCTGAGCAAAGGCACAATTTTGAGCTCGTGTCCAGGGTTTCCTCTCCCTCCATCCATGCACCTGAGCTGCGTCTGCACCAACCAACCCCCTCTGTCCATTTCCTTTCCACACTCATTTCAACTTCTCTCTTCCCTGTAACTTCTACCCTTTGTTAAGTGGCCTGAGCGTCCTCCTACACACACCACTTTAACTGCATCTTTAAATCTTTATTTCTTTTTAACAGAGGTCTCTGAGCATGTACAAACACAAGTGGTGGTAGCAAATAAAATTTGTACGCTTTTTCTCTTGTTATTTTGACCTTTGCTATCCCACTTCAATACGCTGGTTAGATTTCTGCCAGTCTAGCAGAAGCGATCTAGAAAAAGGAAACCTCAACAGAGAAAACCCCTCCATCAGACTGGCCTGGAGTCAGCTTTGTGGGATATCTTCTTGATTGATGCTGTGGGGGCGTGGCGGGGGAAGCACAGCCCACTAGGGGCGGTGCCATCCCTGAGCAGGTGGCCCTGGGCTCTGTAAGAAAGCAGACTGAGCAAGCCATGAGGAGCAAGCCAGTGAGTAGCGTTCCTCTGTGGGCTCTGCTTTAGTTTCTGCCTCCAGGGTCTTGCCTGGACCTCCCCCAGGGGGCTGTGACACAGGATAGGTAAGCTAGAGAAACCGTTTCCCTCCCAAGTTGCTTTTGGTCACGGTCTAGCAAACTAAGGCACTTATGAGAAAAGATGTTTCACCTCTCTGCCCTCCAATTAGGATAAGCACGGACGATGAAATCTCATGCTCACTCATCCCCCCAGTGATAAAGCATTTGTGTTGGAGAGGGTCATCATATGTGGCTCCATTCGAATATCTTTCTAGACTTGTTGGCATTCTCTCCAGAACTCCCACCAATGTCTACTTCCTGAGTCTAGAGGCAAATAGATAAAATCGATTTCCCAACCCCAGTCTTTGAAGGCTGATAAAACAAGTGTAGTCACCTTTTTCCCTGGAGGGGCCTCGCTGGCGGCTGCTCTCATGGGCTGTGGTACCCAGTCTCCATCACTGATCACAGCCAGGCCTTGTTGGGTCCTGGGTGGGAGGCAGATGCGAAGGGGAGAAGAGGAAGCTGCGCTGCTCAGACAGGCCTGGGGTTGGCTGCAGCGTCACCACGGTCACCTTTAGCATGCTCGCCCTTGGCCCCATCATCGGCACATCTGCTTGGACACGCTGGCTGAGCACCATGGGCACTTCCTGAAACCATCTCAACAGAATCCTCCCGGGACCCAGGTGAGGTTTCGGGGAGGAACGGTAGCCAGCATGCCAGCCTGTGTCTTCCTGGATGCAGGAAACAGCAAGCACCAGCTGCCTTTATGCCCTAAAAGGAGAGGACCCAGCTCAAGGCCAGCTAGAGCCTCTGAGATATGTCTTAGGTTCATTCTGTTGCTATGATAAAACACTCTGGCAACAGCAACTTGGAGAAGTTAGATCACCAGTTAGGTTGCAGGCCACCATGGCAGGAAAGCCTCGGCAGCAGGAACTTGCAACAGCTGACAGCATCCGTAGTTGAGAGCAGAGACCAGGACTGGAGTGACGGCTTTGCTCGAGCATTTGCTGCTCCTGGAAAGGAGCCAAGTTCCACTTCCAGCACCCACGAGGTGGTTCGCAACCATTCATGACTCCATTTCCAGGGCGGGTGGTGCCACCTTCTGCCCGCTGTCGGTACCGCACGTCCATGTGCAGGCAAAATATTCGTATACGTAAGATAAAAAAATCCGAAAAGATTGTTTTAAAAAGATCAAAGAAAGTAAATGCATGTATGCTTAGTGCTCAACTTGCTTTTTGCACTCTTACACAACCCAGGACCCAAACTGAGGGAATGGTGCCGCCCACAGTCTTGTCTCACAGCATAATCAAAAGGGTCTCCTAACACCTGGCCAGGGGCCATCTAGACAGCCGCTCGCTGGGACTCTCATTCTAGGAGATTCTGGGTCATGCCCAGTTGACAATTAAAGCTGCCCCCCCCGCCCCAGGCTGTGAAGCAGTCCAGAAATAAATGTTCATTTTTTTCAGGGAGTATCTGGAGTGTCTGTATTACTGCAAGGGGCCGAGGCTGTAGTGACGAGAAGGTAGACGAGGCCTTGCCCTCCATGAAGGTGGAACCAGCCCTGCAAAGCAGCTTGCAAGACACTAGTGTGTGCTGGGGAGACCAGCTCCCCCGAATCCTCACAGTTTTTGCCCTAGGATGAGAGCCACACAAACAGACCGAGGTGTGGAAGCTGGGAGAGAGGCTGGAGCTGATACAGGCGTGAGGCCTTGTTGGATCACACCAGGCCGCGCTCGGCACACACCCGCCTGAGGTGGCCTTTGTTACAGCACTGTCGAGGCAACTGGCAAGCCCCTTATGGTGAGTCTGAGTCTCTAACAGACTCCCCAGGGCCCAGATTCCAGGAAAATGGCAGTCAACATAGACATCCCACAAGGAAGTCAACACCGGCTTCCATGGAAGCTTCCGGAGCTCAGGTTACTAAGGGCTTCTAGTGGTGACACATTCCCCATCTATATAACAAGGACATCTTAATTAGTTGGCTCCTCCTCTTCCACATCCTCAGGTGGCACTGTTCTTCTCCCCCTCCCCCACCTCAGGAATCAGGACTGCCTGGCAGCAGGCGGGTGCTTTGGCATGAAACCCACTCCTTTCTACTATAAGAAGGACCGACCCCTCCTCTTCCTTGAGGGCATGAACTCTTGTCAGAGCCTCCAGTATACTGCTGTCTGTCTGTCTATCCATGTTGTTAATAATACTAATAGACCGCTTACCTAAAAGGACAGTCCACTTCCAGTGGACTGGGCAAAAGGAGAGGACTCACAGTGCTTGCAAAAGTCATCTCCACTCTCTGGAGATGTGCTGTGTCCCCGAGGTGGCCTGATGGCCCTGTTCGCCATGGCCACCAATCCTGTGGCATCGTGAAACATGGTGGCTGGGACCAGACACCAGAGGAAGCTGGCAGGTGGCTTCTCCTGACCCCTCCCCCAGCATTAAACAGGCTGAATGGAAGCTGGGTTGATGAATGGTTCTGACTGTTGCTTGGAAAGCCAAGATGCCCCCAACACACACCACATTATATAGCCCAGACTGGCTTTGAACTCACCATCCTCCTGCCTACCAACGGCTGGAATGACAGACATGTGCCACCATCTCTGGCTAAGAGAGGAATTTGTTTCTCTTTGGACAGCATCTCTGTGCCTGCTGGTTTTACATTAACTTGACACAGGCTAGAGCCTTCGGTTGCTTTTGGTCATGTTGTTTCATTTCAGCAATAAACTGGTGACAATCCTCCTGCCTCAGCCTCCCAGTGTGAGATTTCGGGTATGCTCCACCATGCCAGCTCAAGCACTGAGCTTTTAAAGGACAGAATCCTCAGAAAGGAAGGACACTTCCCAATGTGGATAAACGTGGGACAAACTCAGTGGATCGAGGCAGCCAAAAGGCTTCTGGGTTGCTTAGATACAAAGAACAGGATTGCCGAGAGCCATGGAGCCGGGCAAGGGGAATTCCTGTCCTCCGTGGCTCCGCTCTTTTCCCTGGGGCTATCCATAGGCAATCTTGGTGGCCTGTGCTATCCCAGGTGAGTGAGACAGAGGCCTGACCCACAGAGCAGGATGAGTGAGGGACAGGGCGGGACTCAGTAGGGCATAGAGTTCTTCTTACTCACTCTCCTGCACCTCCTGTCACCTCCAGTGTCAGGGTCATTTGACAAATGCAAAATGGCAGGGCCAGGGGCTCAGGCCTCAGAGAAGACTCTGTCCCTCTTACTGATGTCCCAGCATGCCCATAAGCCTCAGGGAGTGGCTGACACCCAAGCTTGGCCGCTGAGATGCTCAGAGCAGGCACTGTCGCCCCCGAGTCAGGCAGAGACGGTTGGGAGACCACCACCGCAGACCGCAGGCAGCTCCTGGGCACTGTGCTGTACCTGTGGGGGCTGGCGGCCCAGGCCTGTCCTTGGGACCAGCTCCTGAGAGCAGGCCTGGCTTTTCTCTCTTTAAAAGCTTGTGTTTGGGGGACAGAGTGCTTGACCAGCATTCAGGAAGCTCTGGGTTCAGCCTCCAGGATCACATAAGCCAGGTGTGGAGGGGCACACTGGAAAGCGGCAAGTCTGAGGGGAGCCTGGCTATTTGAGACACCGTTTCTAAATGAAGCAAACACCTTATATCTCAAGCTAATCATAGACCCCCACT